CTGCTTCATCTCAAGCTACGCCATCTTTAGTAGAAGCGGGTTTTGGTACCCTCTTTGGGCGTGAACACCTACTTTGGGAACTACACATGTGGATACTATATCATGTATTGCTCTCACTTTCTTTTGGTTTCAGATCTAGTTCAATTTGGATCAAGAACGATCCTTGAAAAATGCAGTTTTTCTAAAATTGGGAATACGATTCCCGGAAGGGAGAAGAGAAATTTTTGAAATTTCACCCAGCCACCCTACGTGGTTCGGCCATTCATATGATGGATTTCCCATTCCTTCAGGGGACCCAAAACAAAGACAAAAATTAGCAGAAGGATTCACATACCGAAGGACTATTTGTAGGACCTCGCTTCGAGCGAGGGGGAGCCTTCCTCTTCAGTCGCCCGCTTGAGAAGCGAACGATGGCACCCCCAGAAGAGAGCGTCGCTACTATCAATCCCACCAGCTCCATAGCCGAGGCAGTCTTCTCCATAGGAGGTGACGCCGTAGAATCTTGACCACCCTCAACATAGGCTTCTCGCGCATGCGATAAAGTCGCAACTGAATCCACAGACGCCGCCATAGTCGAAGGCTGGAAGGAGCGCACCAACCTCGTTGATCTCACCCTCTTTGCAACATGGGGACGACCGCTTTCCCCCTCCTCTAAAACTAGGGGCCTCCTTTCGCGTTTAGCCCCGACCTTCTCTGATGGTCATAGCACAATGAAGGATGGAATGGCTCCCCGGTTCGTGGTATGACCCTTCGACGGAGCCAAAGAATGATGGAGCTGGGGGCTCCTCCTGACCAACTCCTGGAAACCCCCGAATAATGCACAAAGATAAGAAAAATGGAGTGCCCTACAACCCTGTTCCCTTGACAACCCCGCAACTGAAAGACGCGAACAACCCGAAAAAGCATGATCATGGCGTCAAACCCAAAAGATGTCCTCCCCCAAAGACTATAGTGACTGACCACCCAAACTGACGCATCACCCGGTCTAGGCGCTAGGTAGCTAATTGTGCTTCACCTGTGCGATTAAGATAAGCCACCACCTCAGGCCATGTCACCAGTTGCGCGATACCCACAGCTAGATTATCAATATCTATTACGCATTGCTGATCGCTGTCACTAGGAACAGATACGCTGATGCAAAACGGAATCGCATTGCGAACAGGTCAAACATACGACCTCCATACAAAACTGTCTAGTGAAGCCAACCTCATGTTGATCTCAACCATCTTAAAGATTCTATGTCGGGCAGCTTAAAGCCAACATTTTCCTCAAACATCAAAAACCTTCTCCTCGACCTCTTCCCCCCGCAGAGTGGCAACGGGGACTCGCATGCACGCAATATGGCATGGAGTGACACTGAGATCGAAGCACTCACACAAGAACATCCAGAGAAACAGTGCACACACATAACTGCCACACCTCTTATAGCTCGGGTCCACTAATTGATGGACAGTGTCGTCCAGTTGCTCGTAGAGATACCCTAAGAACATCGAGGCCAGAGGAAGCTGATGGCCAGTCGCAGCAAGGACAACAAGAGGGACCAAAGAAATGCGCAGGCCGTAGCCGGGAGGACCAGGAAAAAGAAACCGGGAAGAAACATAAAGAATGAAGGCTRCGAGATGGTACTGACTATTTGCGTCCCTCGCCATTACACCTCGCACACTGTGAGACTCAAACCAGAACTCCAACCAGTGATCAAAAGACATCTTCCCCCGAGAGGTGGTCCGATCCTCCTGCGCTTTGAACATTGCGATCTCGTGGAGAAGCTCGTCATAAAGCTCCCTATAGTCCACAGGAATAGACTCGATATGTTGAAGTTGTTGGGCAGACACGGCACCCCCAACAGGTAAGGCCAACAGGGCAACCACATCCTCAACCGTAACAGTGAACTCCCCAAAAGCCCCGATGAATGTGTGGGTACAACAACATCAGTTCTCCAACAAGCGACCGACATACTTTACACCCTCCCTCCCAGAAAGACCCATATAACAATCTACGAACCTAAGAAGACCAAAATCCTGCAACATTCGGCAGTACATAGGATTTTCGAGAATGTATTACGCCCAAGCAGTATAGCTATTAGGGGATTTTGCGCTATCAGTCCTGGACTCCTGACATTTGTAGGACATAGACTGGTCTGATTGACCACACAAACATAGCAACTCATTCCCACGGATGGATCGAATATGCCCTCCACACCCCTCGAAACCAAGACCGAAGGCCAAAAGCCTTGTTCCCCTTCGACAGCTATAGTCGCCTTTCTTTCCAACAATAACTCCGTCGTGTCCACCTCCCTAACGAAGTCGTAGAAGGGACACCCAACCCCCTTTACTCCCTTCTTTTGGCTAGGAGCCATGACTAACAAACAATAAGAATGACAAAACACGAAACACAGAAGAAATAACAAGAGACATAAAGGGCACTATAGAGATGACAACAAGAAGGTAAAACAAGGAGCGGCCACAATTTCTTTACATGATTATAAAGCTTTCCTCACACATGCGAAAGGCAAGACAGAACAACGCATGTGTGAGGAAAGCTTAGCGAAAAAGCACCCTCTAAAATGATGCTTAGCGAAAAAGCAACCCATGTAATTTACAAAAACACCCTCTAAAAGGCAGGACAAAACGACACATTAATTCAAATATAGCGCCACGTCAACAACCGTAATCWTAAAATATATCGGGTAACAAAATGCTACCACACGAGTAGTCAGGCCTCATTAATTGCGGTTTAATTAACAATGAAGTCGCTAATCATGACCGCCACGCAGACAATAAACAACGATCGTCCCAACTTTCATCGGCAACATAACACGCCAACAGTTATGTTAGCCACCATTGACAGGGGGGCTTCACCCCTAACAAGTCATCAATAATAATAACACCCTCCGCCAACCCCTTTCTTGATGAAAAGAGTTAAGGGGCTTAACATTTCAACAAACACCCTCCGCAAATGATCAGGTGATTTAATCTTTACAAACCGAACATGAGTACGCCCATTAGCAAGGGGAGTTGGTCCAATTATCTTCCTATCAACAGTCAGGGGGGCTAGAACACACAAATAAAGCATGGCATTGACCATTGACAGGAAGCAAATTATCAAAAGACAAGGGGCTAAACCGTAAATGTAAGAAACTACCACCACAGACACAAGGCATGCAAGATCTATACAAAACTACAAAATATGAAAAATCCCCAGACCCAACGCACACAAGCGAACTCACTACAAAACCCAAAAACGAGAAGGCAAGTACTTATCAACAAACTCCCACTTACTAATAAACAAGGGCTAAGGTAGGTATATAATGTTTGCTCAGATCCTCAGAGAACATCAAACACTAAATTAATACCACGAGGCTTTATGCGAATAGCCTATAGTCAACTTTCTTGTTGCAATGAACCTGCAATTCACTACAAGTTCTGCGATGAACTCACAGCGCACATCGCATAACTACGATAAACCTACAGTTCACCGCACGCCCTCAGTGAGCCCACTCATAGCTTGAGCCAAAGGAAACCATGGCCAAACCCACGATAGGGTCCAACACCTATTCAGACATGCGATAAATTCACGACCCATTAAAGAACCACACCTAGACGACACCTACGCGCATGACTCCAAAGGGACAAATGTTGCAAGGCACCACATGTGACTAACAAGATATTGCCCACCAAGCGATGACGTCACAAATGCCATGTCAATTAAGTAGGGTGCACAAGAGGCAGAAGCACACGTGAATAATGAAGACTCTCGAGTGAAAAGAAAGCCGATCCTTAGGAAGATCCCCATGAGACATGTGGCGAAGACTTAGTGGTGCATCCATTGATTGATAGTAAACGTAATATTCCCTTTCCCAATAGGTCACAAGCACCTTTATCTCCTACATTTTAAAATCCCAAGATTTCTCCCATAAATAGAGATCATCCTCGTATTGAAACTCATTCAGCACCAAGCCTTACCCTACCTACACAGTCACCTAGTATACTAGGTGCACCTCTCTACTTCAACCAATCTAATATTTATTTGATTTTTTCTATTATCATTGATGCTCTAGTTTTATAGGCAATGCCCTATTTCATTGTTCTCCCATCGTTGATGATTGATCCAAGATACCGTAGTTAAATGGAGCATCTCCTTACTATATGTTTTGATTGCACCACCTTTTTTACTACTATTTTTACTAAAATTGCAAAGTATGCACTCTTCTTGGTCCATCTTTTCAAAGAAAAATAAACTTATATCAAGGCTACCTACAAAATGAATTGTTAGACAACTTAAAAACAAAAGTTCCCCTATTATTTACCTAGTGTTTGCTAATTGTGTAGGAAGTCCTCTTTCTCATTCCTCCTGATATGATCCAAGCATTTCAGGTATATTTGAAAAGGAAACCAACAAATATAGTGCAATTTGTAATCCAAATGCATTTGAATAAAGCATATTCAAAACAATGCACAGATATCATAGGCCAAACTTTTGCATCTAACAATTTGAGCATAGTAAGAATAATTACTTGTACCGTACGAGAAATGTTATATAATGTAGAATATACCAGTCAGAAGTTAACGAAATGCTCATCACTTGAATTTGGAGCATTGCCCCAAGGAAGCATCTAATAACAATTCAAACCAATGTTTTGAAAACTGACCCAAAACCGGAACCGCTTTGGCCACCGGTTTCTGGTCAGTGGTTCACCTGTCTGGTTTAAAAGAACAGTCCATTGCAATTTAACAAATAAAAAAATAATTAAAACAAAAATGGTCAAAATCTGTTGTCTGCATCAAACAGGTCAACGATTCAACTGCCTGGGTCAGCGGGTAATTGACTAAATCAACAGTTTTTGGCAAAAGACTGGGTCATGGGTGAAAGGGAACCAGTTGCCTGTGCAGTTTTAAACGGTCCAACCATCTGGGTCAACAACGGTTCGAAAACCATGATTCAAACCTATCATAGAGCTCAAGAAGAGGAAAAAAGAAGACAACACCAATAACAACGGATCATGGAGGTAAAAAAGGACCGTGATATTACTTTAAGAGCCACATGTAGAGTTGAAGCAAATTCCTTGCAGATTCTTTCCCAAGTTTCTGTGGAATGGCTAGGGCCTTTTACTATGCAAACAATTTTTCAGTTTATGGTATTGCTAGGGATTTTCGTACTTCCCCCTACCCTTTCATGTTCTCGAATCTGATAATTTATGTACTAGATTATTTGTTGTAGTGGTTTCGCATCTCCTCCAAGTCGTTTTATATATACATTAACAAATGTAGTAAGGTTGGCAGCACCTTCATCTGAAGTAAGGTTTCAAGTTTATGGAAGATGCAAAGTAGAAGGCCCTTCACATTTTAGAGACAGGAAGGTACTTGGTATGACGTCCCTGAGCAATAATCTTCCCTGTGCTCTTTTTCCTCAGCTCCACACTAATAACTGCAACTGCCTTTCCAATACGTAAAGCCTTTGCCTCGATCTCAATCGGTTCCTAGATCAATAATCATATAAAATTTTGCATGCCACAAACTCCAAAATTAGTATATGTAAACCTTGAAACCAAGTCTAGAAAAAAAATCCAAAATACAAAAAATCAACAAGCAAATAATCCAAGCCACCGAAACACCAAAGAAAAGAATAACATGCACGAATGCTATTAAACAACAGAATCAGCATTTCATGGCACAATTTATAAAAAACCAGCCAAAAGAAAAAGATCAACCAATAAAAATAATGAACAAAAGACTTGTGTCTAGGAGTGTCATTTCCAGTTGAACCACATCACTAATATCAATAAATAACAAGTAAAATCTGAGGTATATGTTAGTCTAGTTATGCTTCTACAGAGACTGCTAAGATAAATGTATCAATGGTACAAAATAATTAACAAAACAAAACAAGACCAGTATAGAATGATCTAGGAAGAACATCAAAGACTTGGATATTCCTTCTATGGAATAGGTCAACTTCCAATATTAATCATGTTAATAAGTATTTTAGCATGACATCAGAAAAATTGAATATGAGAATCATAACCAGTTGAAATCAACTGGAGATTTTAGACACAAAAGCCTTGTCCACAGGAAATAGATGTCCCTGAATTAGGAGTAATACGAGTCTATAACATGAATAACCACTCTAAACCACAGAACAAAACAATATATAGCAGTCACGTAGATGTATCTACTGTATGTAAACAACGAAATATAATAAAAACAAGAAAATTTAACCAAGTTAACACATCAAAGGATGGAGAGGATGGAAAGGGCTTGTGAAGAGTGAAGAGCTCACTAGATTGGACTCACTTTACCCTTCATTCAAGTCCATACAATAGGGAAGCTATGAAAAGGAGGGAAAGAAAAAGAGAAGCATTCTAGATGGTAATCCTCAGATGAATGATGTTAGAACATTACAATCGATTTTTTTGGTAGCGAAGCAAAAGAAATTTCATTAAGCACTTCTTAATAACAAAGCAAAAGAAATTTAATTAAAAGGAAAAAAAAACGCCGTTGGTGACAAGATTTCACCATATACAACAGAAATTACAATGAACCTTTTAGATGGATGAAATAACAATCAATTTTTATACAAAATGAAAAAGAAAAAAGGCCATTAGAAAAACTAAGTACCCAGTCATCCAGTTCCAAGTATTCTTGAACCTAGTGGAAACCTTTTCTCTTTGGATTCAAAGCGACTAAGAACCCACTCTACAACCAATATACATATATCAACCACCACTTTTCTTCTGAATCTGCATTTGTATTCAAACATACACTTTGTGATTAAAAAGGTGTGCCTAGGGACGCAGGTAAGGTGCATTTTAAGGCATGCGCCACACCTGAACGCATGCATAGCACCTTTCACAACACATGTGCCTTTCTAAAATATGCCTTTTTGTTATTTTTTATAGATTCTTATGTTTTTTTTTTCTTTTGAGAAGTATATTGTATTTGATTTCTAGAATGGGTAAACCCATTAAAGAGACTGGCAGTAATGAGAGAATACACAAAATATCAGTAAATGAAGTAAATACAAAAAAGAGAGTATCAGTCGAAAGATTTGAAGCTTTTGGCCAACAAAAGATTTTAGCTGACATGTGTATGCTTTCATCAATTTGAGAGGGTCGTCCTTCAAAAGTTCTGCTCTTCCTCTCCATCCATATAGACCAAAAAAACAGCCACAGGGAGCATGCTCCAAACAGTCTTACCATTACTTGAAAGACCCTCAATGAATCAGCTATTTAAGAAATCAAGAATTGTGCCAGGGAAAACCCAGTTCAGGTGCATGTTAGCCAGCAAATGGTTCCAAATTAGTCTGCTCTCACTGAAGAGTGCAGGAAAAGATGGTTTGCTATTTTTTTATCAATTACAGAAACTTATATTATTAAAAATCAGGATTACATACAGCATTCTGGGGAGAGAAAGTGACTTAACTCTCCCCAAGAGAACAAGAAAAAGAGATTACAAATTAGCCCAAAACATCTGATCCCTTCCCACCCCCTGCTGCCAAAGTATCTGCAAAGGAAGATGGTTGTGTTGTTTTACTGAGGAATTCGCCCCCTTTATTTATAGCCTTCTCAGGATCAGCCTCTTAATCAAATTAGGAGAGTTCCTTAATCCAAATCTGATATTTGGATCCGAACTCTTGAATGGATAAGACTTATCTTATCCTTCAACTAATCCAAATTAGATTATAAATCCTATCTTGCCTCCTTTTAATTAACTAACTTAAGCCCAATTCGAATTGGGCTTTAGGCCCATTAATCTTATGTGCTCACTTAACCTCTTAACCTGCTGCCCAGTTGGCTCTCTTTGTATGGCGTATGACCCAAACATTGATCTACACATCAACCACATGGGTTCAGCCCAGCCTTTGTTACAAGGCCTGGCCGAATTCACTGTAGGAGACAATGAACCCCTAAGTCCATCACCATGGGTTCTAATGAGCCCAGCATTTACACTAAATGGTCCTTGGGTCCAGCCACCTTATGAAAACCAAAGGATTGTGGGGCCTGGCCGAATTCACTGTAGGAGACAATGAACCCCCAAGTCCATCACCATGGGTTCTAATGAGCCCAGCATTTACACTAAATGGTCCTTGGGTCCAACCACCTTATGAAAGCCCAAGGACTGTGGGCAGATGCAAGATTAGCCCATCAGGTATTTACCCTCAATGGTCTTACACTTAACCTCTCAACCCATAATGATCAAACACTGCCCGACAAGAGAAGACCTCTCCCTCGACTGCAAAGTACAGTGCTGCACTCTTTACTCACATGGATCCCGGGAATTAAAACCTTTTGCAAACATTTTGAAACCATAATATATATATGTATATCTTTATATAAATATATTTTGCAAAACAAATTTCAACAGTTGAAATCAATTGCCGGCAATTTAGGTTTCCATGAGAGAGAGTGCATCCACGATCATTCACTTTGTCCAACAAAGGGGCTGATCCTATCACTATGATCACCCACTCAGGTGAATTCTCGCACTGTCCCAACATACCCAGGTTTTGACCCCCTCTATGGATTTCATTGATTGGCATATCAAAGACAACCCAATTCGACACCTAATGCGGTATCATAATCGAGTCTAGGGGTTAGGTGTAACAATCAAGTTTTTGTTAAAGATTAATGTAGAAACTATTTACTGTTGAGTTAGTCAAAAAATGACTTAGTCTTTTTCAGTTGAACTGTATTTGCTATTGTTTAGGAGAATGACTTAGTCTTTTCAGTTGGGTTGTATTTGCTATTGTTTAGGAGTCATATCAGGGGTGTTTGGTACTAGAATCTCTGATAGTTTGTTATGTTTTCTTGCTATTTAAATTCTGGTTATGCAGTGAATAAAATATGCCCTTTCTGCTAATTTCGTTGCCTTGTTACTGTTCTTTTCATTGTGTTAGCCATCCTTTATTTTTTAACAGTTTTGCCCATCTATCTCCAAGGTCCAGGGCAATACTGGAATTTTGGTCCGGTTCAGGGTTTCAAGAAAACCCACACTGCATGTACCTCAGGTCTTACACTAGCAACAGAGACAAGCCACCCCAACCAACTTGGCGACACATCAGTGTCAGCCTTGGCAGGATAAATCTCTTCAGATCTATCCAACGGCTGTGAAGATTCTAAACTAACACAAGTCTCATTAAATGTCCAGTTTAAGGGTATTACACAAAAATACACCACAATGACATGAATCAATTATGTACTTTATTCATTTACAATAAATGTCAAAAAGGTACATCAATCTGATTGGAGCTAAAGGGCATAACTGTCTAACAAAAGCTCCAATGCTACACACACATCAGGGTAGTATTCAGATTTTTAATTTGATAGGTTACCAATCCACCCATGTGCTTGGGGAGAAAACACTAGCCCAGTAAACAAGGTGGATTTTCTTGTCTTCCCACCACCCTTTTTAAAGAAAGTCTCTTTCAATCTTTTCCAAGTTATTTGCAACCTTCAAAAGGACCCAAAACAATGAGAGATAGTGGCTGGGGATAAAGAACTTTTAAGTAAAGTTAGTTTACCTCCCTTGGATGCTTAACTTTCCAAGTTGAAAGTTTCTAAATTGCCTTTTTTTTATGTTCGTATACTAGTAGTGGTCTATTAACTTTTAATTATTTTTATCAGCAAAAAGTTATTTTGTTAAAATGACTATAAGTGGATTAGAACAATTGATTACAAGATGTCATCCCCAATTACACAATCTAGATTACAATGAAGCCCAGTAGAATTGCTGCCTTGCAACACCTTGTTTTGCTAAGACATCAGCTAGCCCATTCCTTCTAACCCACTTGAAGTCAGCACTTAAATCCWTTGCTATCCTTTCAACTTCCCATAAAATATGTTTAAGAGTCAAAGAAATATGTCTATTACAAGTAGACCATGTAATAACCACTTTTGAATCCCCTTCCACCTCCACCTGTCTAAAACCCAAATGCTTTATCAACTGGAGCCCATTCAGTAATGCCAACACTTCAATCTTCACAGAGTTTGTATTGCCAATTGGCCCTGAATATAAAGCCAAGATCCTGCTCTTTGAATTCCTAATTGCTCCCTTCACCTATTCCCGCCATTCCTAGGTTTCTGTCTATTAACTTCTAAATTAAACAATATCAAACACCTTTCAAATACCTGAAGCCTTAGGGCCCATTTGGTTTGTGGGAATAGAGGTCTAGAAGACTGGAACTAGAATCGGAATGGGCCATTCTGATTCCAACTGTTTGGTTGGGCAGAATTGGAATCCCATTTCCATTCCTGGTGAAATGGCCATTCCCTCCCCCTCCCTCGGGAATGAAATCCCATTCCATCTGATTCCAACTCTCATTCCGATTCCTATCTGAACCAAACAGACTATGGAAATAGACCATTCTGATTCCAATTCCGAGGGATTTTGATTCCAATTCGAACCATGAACCAAATGGACCCTTAGTTTTCACAAATAGGATCTCAAATATCAAAGTTTCCATTAGAAAAAGTGATTACAA